TATATTATTAACATTAATATTTTATTTTTTATTAAAAAATTAATACTTTTTTTTTATGTTCGCAGGTAAATTTGCCTATATTATAGATAAAGAAATATATTTATTCTTAATACTTTAATTTATTATATATTTAAATGCTAAATAGTTTAAAAGCAATAGTTAAATTTTATTATCATGTAGTATATCACATGACATATATAAATATTTACAATATCAATTATAAAATTTGTGTAACTTTATCAATTAATCATATAAAATTTTTCCTATAAGATATAGAGTAATTTATCAACATCAATATAATAAGACATAATATTATAATATTATCTAGTTCTAATTTTTTAACTTATAAACTTATATTCTTTTCAATTTTTAAACAAATTATTAAATGAATCTTACTTCTATTAAATGATATCATTTTATAATTTAGATTAATTACTAAGAAAATTAAGATTTGAAAATTTTTAACAAATCAAGGTTTTTTTTAATCTATATTAAAATGTATTAAACTCTTAATTTTAGTTAAAATTTTCAAAATGTAATTTTCTTAGAAATTCTTCTATTTGTTTAATATTATAATATATAGTTTAGTTTATTTGAAATCTTTGTTTTCTAAATATTATAGAAGTTAATAATTTTTTAATAATAGCATCTACTTGAATGAAGAATAATATATTTAGTATTTGCATACTAATCATAAATAAGGTATTTCATTCAATTTCAAATTTTTTTAAATATTTATTAATTTTAATATAATTATTATTAATATTAATCAATAGTTTACATAAAAATATAAAATGATTTAAATTATTATACATATATACTAATAAATCCTTAATACTATAAAAAGTATCAGATAGATATTTTATTACTATTAAATATTATCGTTATTTTATTAGTTAATTCTATTTATTTTTAAATAGTTTTTTATAAAGAGAATTAAATTATTCATAAGATTTATAATAGAATTCTTTAAATCAGATTGCTTAATTTTCCTTAAGTTTTTTTAAAGATTTAAATCTATATAAAATATTATATAGTAAATGCTAAATATTAGGATAAATATTCTTGATTAAACAAATTATAAAAGAATTTAAATTAAAAAAATAATTTGTAAATAATTATTCATTTTATTAAATATATTATTAAATATCTACTAATGAGTTTCTAATATTTTGTATTTAATAATTATGTATACTCTAATTCTAATTTTATAATTATTATTAACTATAATAATATAAAGAATCATTTAAAATTAATTTGTAATATAAGTACTATTTATTATAGTACTTATTATATAATTCTCTTTGTATAATAAATATCTATAAAAAAATTAATCTTTTTAAAATTAGATTTAATTAAGTTTATATAATCTAAAATAGCTCTAAATTTTTTTAATCTATTAATAATTAAAGCATCTATAAAATATTTATATTTTTCAGATTATATTTCTATTAAAATAAATAAACTTTATTATATAAATCTCTTTTGTGTATAGACTAATTCAGCTAATTATACTTAATATAAGATATATAGATATTAAACTTATTTATTCTTGAATAACTTATTTTTTATATTAGCTAACATCTCTATTGTTAACTTTTGAAATCACAAGTTTATTTTTTGAATTATTAGAATAAATAGGTAATTATATATATTATTAAACGAATTAGTTGTTTTTTACAATATCACTTATTTTTAGATAAGTTATATTAAATTTTAAGGATATAGTATCTATTGAGAATGAGTATTACATTAGGGTAGTAATATTTATTACATTATATTTTAAGGGGTAGAAAAATAATTAAAAAATTTTAATATATATATAATATAATGTAAGGTTAGTATATAGTATAATATAAGATTATTATAAGATAGGAGATAGGATATTACGTAATAAATATTACTATTCTTATTTTATCAAATCTAACATAATTTGTAAAATATAAAATCCAGATTTTTTATATAATAAATAACTCTTATAATTAAAATACTTTTTTAATTTAAATATATATATCTATTTCTTGAATCTTTTAGCTAAAAAAATTAGTCTAGAGATTAATTTTTCATGATATCATCATGATATAAATAAATTTGTAATATAAAAATTATAATGAGTAAATAAATCTTGGGATGTAATGAAAATAATATAATAATATTTAATTTAAAATTAACTTTAATAATTAAAACAATAATTTATATAATTTTTAAAATAAACTGTAATAATTATCTATTTAATAAATATTTGATATTGATAATCTGTCAATTGGTCCAAATATATATATATATCAATCAACCAATCATAATTTATTAAACTAATCATAAAAAATTTTTTTTACAAGGTTTAGATACGATCCTTTTTACAATTTCGTGGAGTGAATCATTGAAAATGGTTAGATACTCTATTGAGCCAGCCAATCCTGAAAGGAGTAAGTTTACCTTTGGAAAGTATAGTTGCCATTAAACGTGTAAATCGTTCAAAATTTCATCAAAATTATATGAATTTTAGCCGCAAAAACTCGTGGTTCTTATTTACGAGTACATTTCAAGAATACTCGTGAAACGGCCAAGGCGATCTCCGGAAAAAAACTGTCTAAAGCCATTAAATATCTTGAAGATGTTAAAGAGCATAAGCAAGCTGTTCCCTTTAGACGGTTTAACGGTGGTGTTGGTCGATGTGCCCAAGTCAAAGCTTTTGGATGCACTCAAGGTTATTTTTTTTTTAATTATAATGATAAATTATCATAAATATCTAAATCTTTTTTAATAACATCATTGATTTAAAATAGGTCGATGGCCCGTAAAGAGCGCTGAATTTTTGCTAGGACTGTTAAAAAATGCTAGAAGTAATGCAGAAGTATGTTTTGTATTAATATATATTTGATCAAGTCAAAGTTTCAATATTATTAACATTAATATAATTGGATAGCTTAAACGTATGGATGTGGAAAATTTGATCATCTCTCACATCCAAGTGAATCAAGCTCCTAAACAAAGACGAAGAACCTATAGAGCTCATGGTGTAAATAATAACTTATTATTATTACTTTTTTATTATTATATAATTTTATGTTTTAATTATTCAATAATTTAATGATTTATTTAATTTATTAGCGCATCAATCCTTACATGAGTAGTCCATGCCATATAGAAATAATTGTTACTGAAGAAAATGCTCAAGTAAAACGTGAAAGTGATGAAACTAAGAAGGTTCAAAGACTTAATCGCAGGCAACTTGCCAGAAGAAGATTACAAGCTTAATGCTAATGTGAGAGTAAAAATAATCATTCCGCAATTACTTATATGTCCTGCTAATACTTTTAGTTTATATTTACTAATATGCAATTGAATATTCCAATATATATATATATATATATATATATATATTAGATCAAATAATTGTTAATGATTTGATATTATTATTTTTATTAATAAAAAATTAATTAAAAAGACAAAACTAAATATAAATCATTTTTTATAGTATTTTGTTCTGTCTACTCTTAAGATATTTTTGACATTTATTCCTTAATTGAGCTGATGTGTGTTGATATATATTGAGCTTTATGTCTCTAAACATTGCATCGTAATTATCACCGTATTTCTGAATCAATTCTTCTAAAAATTGTTTTTCCCCTTCAGATTGATATTTTTCACGTTTATAAACGTTCGCGGCTTGAGTTTCCAAAGCTTAATTTGCGAAAATGCATCAATTACATTTATATTTTTAAGAATGTCAATACATAATTCTAAAGAAACAAACCTCTAATAATGTCTGTTTTCGCGGGAACGGGATCAATTTCAGTATTAAATACTTCCTCTTCCTCTTCTTCTCGAGACCGTCCAATAATAATGTTTATAACGTTTCCTTTTTCATCCCGTTCTATGATACCTTCTTCAGGGCCTAGAGTTTTTTTTATTTCTTCCATATCTAATTCTTGAGCTTCATCGGGATATAATTTTTCAGTACCACCTGCAATACCATTTAGCGAAGTCATAAGACCCATACGTTGATAACTTTGCGAACACAAGAGAGAAGAGAGATCATTAAAATTAATGGAGTGATCATAGATTTAAAATGAATAAAATCATTTGAAATTATATACTTTTGACGTAAAGTAGCTTTTTTATCCCAGTTAGCTGCGATAACGGAATTTCCCTGTAATAGAAAAATTTAATCATTTCAATTATGTTTATATTAATTTAAAATTACAAATAAATGTATTGAAACAAAAATAACTTTTATTGAAATTTTTTTAAAATGTTTATTCGCATTTTTGCGAGAAACTTTAAGTGTTGGATTGCGTATCTTGTGTCGTTTTCGAGGTCTAGCCATGCTGTAAAGAGAGGTAAGGTAAACTTATGAAAAAGCTAAGTCGGAGATTTATCAGTCCTTTTCAATTTACACAAAAATCACTGGTCCGATAGAATAATATTTATTTGTTCTTTTTTTAATTATTGTCCGGAGCGAAGCGAAGGACACTATATGTGTACGCACTATGAAAAAAAACAGTCACGTGACATTTTACGTTCAGATGATCAAAATAAAAATTTACTGTACATATGCTGAAAATATATCTAATCTTGAAATAGGAAAGCAACTTTATCACCTACATTATTTCAAAATAAGGCAAGTGAATAAATAAATATACAGTATATACAATAAATTTATAAAAAAAATATACTACCTTTTATACGGAATTTTAACACATGGTTTGTGTAATGATTCGTAAATTTCAGTACTAGAGCCATTTATTGCACTATATGGAAAGATTTGCTAGGAAAATCAAGTTCTGAGAATTTTTTGATAAATTATGATTTTTATTACATTTAGGTTTTGATGTTATTGTCCAGAGCGAAGCGTAAGACTTTATACTTTTAGGAATTAGTGTGAAAATCTGGTCGTCACGTGAAATTTCCTCTTGTCACGCCATGTGTACGATAAGAATCAAAGATCAAAATAAATAAAATTTAGTCACACAATCACGTCCTATGTGATAAATAGAAACGGTTGTACAAAGATATATAGATCATCTCTTTTTGTTTCATTTTTTTTGTTTCATTTTTTTGTTCCATTTTTTTTACCACAATTTTAAAATTATAGTATGCATTGCAAGAATTTTTGCAACAGGAACATCTAGAAGCTTAAGCTGCCCTATAAAAAATTTGCATACGTTTTTTCATTATTATAAATAAGTTTTGTATACGTTTTTTGAAATTCTGTATC